TGTGTTTGAAAAAATTCAGTTCGAAAATATTTGTTTTGGCTATTCCATTCATCGCAAAACGATGGTATTAGAAAATCTCAACTTAGAATGCAAACAAGGTGAAATGACAGTTTTAGTAGGCGGATCTGGATCAGGAAAGTCCACATTAATCTCATTATTGGAGAGATTCTATGCGCCATTATCCGGTAGAATTTTGTTAAATAATAGAGATATAACAACATTTAATCTTCGCTGTTTACGTTCAAAAATATCATTAGTTGAACAAGAACCAATTCTTTTTAATACGACTATTCGAGAAAATATTGCATATGGAATCGAGGAGGATCAACGAACAGTAACAGATAAAGAAAGTAGGGATGCTGCTAGGATAGCAAATATTGATATTTCAAAATTTTCTGAGGTATGTCCGCTAGTTGAACGATACAATATCCATGCTCTATTCAACAGAGTAATATGTTTTTAGGGATACAACACACCCTGCAATCAGTTGTCTACTGGAGAAAAACAAAGAGTTGCGTGTGCTCGTGCGATCATTCGTCGTCCTCAAATTCTGTTGTTAGATGAACCGACAGCAGCACTCGATTCACTTTCGGCAGAGGTTCGCTTTTAGGATATTATTTTAATTATGGCTGTAATCACTATTTTTCTTATTTTCTAGACTGTACACAATTTCATAAGGGAACAATCTAAATCAGGACAAACCTGTCTACATATTACTCATCGTCTATCAACAATACAGAACGATAGTTCAGTTCAAATAGCTGTGGTCGATTATGGTCAAATTTGTGAACAAGGTACATATACTGAACTGAGGGAGAAACAAGGAATATTTTATCGATTATCAACAACAGAAGAGAAATCAGGTGATAATACAAAGTTCTAGTCCAAAGTTTGTTGTTACTTTTGTATATCAGTCAAAACTGTTGTTATTTGTTTTCTCTGTTTTTCATTGCGAATACATTCTTTCACTTTTATTTTACTTTTTATTACAAATTTTCTCCTAGTAAATCTTGAATAACGCCAGTAAAAGTGCACCTTCAATATAAAGGATAACGCATTTAATAGGCACATGTCTGCATTACGAAGTTTAATCATTCCTCACTTTCTTGCCCACTCTTAAAAATTGATTTTTTTAAAACTTAAACTGAACGTCATAAGCCTGAATGAGCAGTAAAAAGTCCTGAAACAATGTGTCAAAACACAAAAATACAGAAAACAAATAAGAAAACTTGAAAGGAACGTTGTAGTGAAACTGAGGAATGTTGAAATACAAACCTAGGATGTTGCTCATTCTTTGTTGTAAATGACGTAAAAATAAATGTGGCGATAGCCAAATGGACTTAAACAGCAGCTCTTGTTTAACGTTCTACTCAGTTTTCTACCCACTGAGATTGACTGGTCAGGAAAAGTACACACTTTTCGATGTCGAGTGAACGTTTAGGCCATTTTACACATCTAGCAACACACTTTATTTTGACAGTGTGTAACACCGTATCTTTACATAGTTGGAAATCATTTGTACGAATTTGACGAGAAAGAAGATTTAGGGTTTCTTAATATGCAAGGGGTTGGGAAGGGGAATGACCTTTTGTCCCGGTTATATTTTTCTTCAACAAAAAACCGTTGTAGACCATGGTGCAGAAGTTATACCGCATGCTAGAAATGGAATGAAGTCCAGAAGAGCGAGAAAAAAGAGACATTTTTAGGAACACACATGTGTACGATGTTGTAGTACTTCCGGATGGAAGTGGTCAAAATAACGAGGATCTAGGAATAGATGGTGAGAACCAACTCCTTCAGGGTAGCGTTTTTTGTTGATACAATAAATTTGGTTTTACTCACTTTTCGTTACTACTGATCTCTCCCCTTCGTATTTGACTACTTTTTCTTCACCTCTTATTTTCTCTCATCTTGATTTCTCTATTATTATTTTTCCAACATAAATTATTTCATATTCGACTCATAACATCCTGAACAATATCCCGACAAGAAAAATTTAGACGTATGTTCGTACTAAGAATTCACACTGACTAAACTGAATATCCGATGAAAAAGAATTTTGTGCTTCTGCTATGTTGAGTTGACGACAAAAGTCTCATATACATGTTGTGTAGCATGATAAGAAAAAAGTTTGAAAAAAAAAAATTTGAAAAAACAAGCATGAAATGAAGAATTGGAGAATCAAGCCGAAAAACGGTAAAAACAACATTTAGAGTAGAACGATAATAGACCTAATTTTCTTCCTGTAACTGCCCTTCTTATTTTCTTCTTCTCTCTTTAATTCTTCATTTTGCCTCTTTTTTCTTATTGTGGTACACAACATGTATATAAGAGTTTATAGAGAAAGTACAAAACTGCCACGAACATAATTATAAATCATAGATTAATTTATTGTGATATTTTGGTAGGTCGCTCCTACCATCAGACAATAAGCGTTTTTTAGAGTGTCACAAAATTAGTGTATATATATATATACATCGAATAATGTAAAACGAAAGAAAAACACATGAAATAATACGAAAGAAGCTTCTTTGGTTCGTAGAACTCGGTTTTGGGGCTGATAAAACTGCACTCTTAGAGTGCTAGAATACTTTTAATTTGTATTTCACTTCATTAGTTGCTGTTCCATGAGATTGATTTGTTAACAAACTCTCTTTTATAACCCTCCTCTTCCAGATTGATTCTAATGCTAAAGTCTCAACATTATTAAGGTCTATTGTATGATTGTTGGTATTACAATGTTGAGCAATAAGTGATGTTAATTTACTTTTATGAATATCGTTCTTGTATTCTATCATTTTGGTCGTTTTTATACGATTAGTCTCTCCCACGTACTTCTTATTACAGTCTTTACAGTTTACGCAATAGATGAGTTTTTTCTTCTTTCGAGTGTCATTAGTTCCTTTCTGAATTGGTAAGAAAATGTTTTTCAAAGTAGATGATTTCCGATAGACCAGATCAATGGCGTATCCAGGATTTTTCGAAGTTTGGACAACTCTCCAGCTAGAGGGTCCAAAAGAATGGGCGACCCTGGGCAGAACTCAAGAGTGGTGTCAACTTCCACGGTTCTCTGGAAATTCCAGAACTCCAGCAGAATTCAAAATCAACAACCTGCCACTAGCCCAATCCCTCGGATGCCCAAGATTCTGCTCAATTCCGCAGTGCATCTGAAAGAATCTGGCACAATTCTACCAGCACTCAACCAAAATCCACCATACTCTCTTTCAGACTCAGATACTCTGTACGAATTGGCAGATTCTGCTCACTTCTGCTCTGATTCTGGCAGAATCTAGTGCAATTCTACGAGAAGTCAATCAGAGCCCATATCTTCTGTTTCCCACTAAGATACACTCTACGAATTGGCAGATTCTGCCCAATTCTGCTGTGATTCTGGCAGAGTTTGCTGCATTTCTTTCAGAAGTCAACCAGAATCCACTGTATTCTGTTACACACTCAGCTACACTCTACGAATTGCCAATTCTACCAGAAGTCAACAAGAATCCACTGTATTCTGTCTGACACACAGATACTCTCTACGAATTAGGAGATTCTGCTCAATTCTGCTGTGATTCTGGCAGAATCTGGTGCAGCTCTACAAGAAGTCAACCAGAACCCGCTATCATCTCTTTCACACACAGATACTCTCTACGAATTGGCAGATTCTGCTCAATTCTGCTCTGATTCTCGCGGAATCTCGTGCAGTTCTACGACTAATCAACCAGAATCCACTACTTCCTGTTTCACACTCTGATACAGTTTACGACTTGGCACATTCTGCTCGATTCTGCTGCGATTCTGCCAGAATCTCGTGCAATACTACGAACAGTCAACCGGAATCCACTCTATTCTGTTTCACACTCAGATATAGTTTACCAATTGGCAGATTCTGCTCGATTCTGGCAGAATCTGCTGCAGTTGTGCCAGAAGTCAACCATAGTGCAATGTATTCTCTTACATACACAGATTGGCCGATTCTGCTGAAGTCTGCTCTGATTCTGGCAGAATCTGCTGCAATTCTACCAGAAGTCAACCCGAATCCACTATCTTCTGTTTCAGACTCAGATATAGTTTAACAACTGGCAGATTCTGCTTGATTCAGGCAGAATCTGCTGCAATTCTACCAGAAGTCAACCCGAATCCACTGTATCCTGTTCCACACTCAGATACTCTCGGCGAATTGGCAGATTGTGCTCAATTCTGCTGTGATTCTGGCAGAACCTGCCGCAATTCTGCTAGAAGTCAACCAGAAGCCACTGCATTCTGTTTCACACTCAGACATAGTTAAGTCAACCAGAATCCATTGTATTCTGTTTCACACTCAGGCACACTCTGCTAATTTGCAGATTCTGCTCAATACTGCTGTGATTCTCCCAGAATCTGCTGCAGTTCTGTGAGAGGTCAACCGGAATCCGCTATCTTCTGTTTCAGACTCAGATAGACTCTACGAATTGGCAGATTCTGCTGAATTCTGCTGTGATTCCGGCACAATCTAATGCAATTCTAGTGGAAGTCAACCAGAATCCACTGTATTCTGTTTCACACACAGATACTCTCCACGAATTGGCAGATTCTGCTCAATACTGCTGTGATTCTGGCTCACTCTGGTGCGTTTGTACCAGAAGCCAACCAGAATCCTAGGTCTCAATTGACATATATATACTTTCTGCTTCTACCAGAATCCAACTAGAATTGGACCGGAATCTCGCAGAATTACACCAGAATAAGCCAGTTCTTAGAGAGGATCTAAGTCTGAGCTGACATCTGTATACTTTCGGATTCTACAAGAATCTGACCAGACCTGGACCACAATCTGGCAGATTTACAGAAGAATTGCTCCAGAACCTGCCAGTTCGTGGAGATGTTGGAAATGTACACTGATATCTGTATACTTTCTGACTCTAACAGAATCTAACGAGAATTGGAGCGCAATCTGGCAGAATTAAAGCAAAATTGCAGCCGAATCCGCCAGTTCGTAGAGGGGATCTAAATGCCTAGTGATATCTATATACTTTCTGATTCTATTAGAATCTAACGAGAATTGGACCCGAATCTCGCAGAATTACACCAGAATTGCGGCAGAATCTGCCAGTTCGCAGAGAGGTTCTCAATGTGTGATGTGTGTATACTTCTTGATTCTACGAGAGTGGGACAAGCATTGGACCAGAATATCGCAGAACTACGACAGAATTGCACAAGAATCTCCCAACTCGTAGAGAGCATCTAAATGTGCAATGATATCTGTATACTTTCTAATTCTACGAGAATCTGACCAGAACCTCACAGAATTACACCAGAAGTGCTCCCGAATCTGCCAGTTCGTGGAGTGGTTGGAAACGTCTACTAATATCTGTATACTTTCTGATTCTACCAGAATCTAACGAGAATTGGAGTGGCATCTGACAGAATTTCAGTAAAATTGCCTCAGAATCTGCCAGTTCGTAGAGAGTATCTAACTGTGCACTGTTATCTATAAAGCCTCTGATTCTCGAAGAAATCTAACCAGAATTCCAAGAGAATCGGGCAAAATTACTTTTGTTGTTGAGTTTGTGACTGAGTTTGAATGGCATTCAATCTCTTAAAGATCCCTTTTGCTTCACGAGAATCTCACCGTATAATATGATCGGGATGACCGTTCATCTTTAATGTTTTAAACAAATGTTCTCGTTCAAGTTTCAAGAAAGTTTCATTTGAGCAAAGACGAAGAAACCGCACGTAGAGAGATTTGATCATATCTAGTTTATATTTTCGTGCTTGATTGCTGTCGTATAATAGAAAGTTTTCTGTTCAAATTGTTTTGTTGATGTAATTTAATTAATTTAATTAATGTTTATATCCACTGAGGAAGATTGAACTATCAATTGAAACGTTTGGAACAAATAAAAT